ATGCCTACCATATGGAGAGTTCTGGCCCTCAGAGAAGAGTGGTGAAAAGACAAATAAGGTCCTTCTCTTATACTCTACATACAATTTAGAAGAAATTAACAATAAATTTTTTAAAAATAGAAAATGCCTGATAGTAATCATTGCCACACACAGAATTAAGCAGGATTAAACTGGTAGTATCTTTAGATTGGGTGGTTAGGGAGGGCATGTCTGATGAGGTATTTTTTAAGGTGGGACCCAATTGACAAGAAGAAATCAGCTATAAAATTATTAAGGTAAAAATACTCTACTCTTCAGTTTTTGCAAAGGTTGTAAGATAGAAATGAGGAAGATGGCTAGTGGAGTGATGTATACGGATGGTAAGGAAGAAAGTGGTACTTGATGAAGTTGGAGAGGGAGGCAGAAACCGGATAAAGTGAGGTTTTGCAGGCCAGGGTGAGGACTTAGGCTTTTATTGTAAATGCAGTGGGAAGCCAGTAGAGGGCTATGAGCAGGAGAGGGACAGGATCTGGTGTACAACCTTGAAAGGTTATTCTGGCTACTATGTAGAAAGTGAATTGTGAGGGGCCAGAGTAAGAGCACAGTATCTAGTTAAATAGTACTCATAAGGTATAAGAGGTCATGGTGGCTTGGATGAAGGTTGTAGTAAGAGTCGTGGAAAGATAGATATGTTTGGTACATGTTTTGGAGGTAAAATAAACAAATCTTCCTGAGTTTTTATTCAAGAAACTAGGCTAATGGTGGTACAACATACTGAGATGAATAAGAATGGGGTGGACCAGTTGAGAGTGGCTATGTAATAAGAGTTTTGTTTGGGTCATGATAAGTTTGGAACACACAAAGGGTAATGTCAAGTGGGTAGATGTGAATCTGGAGTTCTGAGGCAAATCAGACTCAGGGATTATGTACATGTTCATGTGCTAGTTGTATCCTGAACTTCTGGAGTCAAGCAGTACACAATTTGTGTGGCCTCAAGAGCATCACTATATATATGGAATCATCACTATATATATGAAATCATCACTTATATATGGAATCATTGGTCTACACATGGCATTTAAAGCTACAAGAATGCATGAGAATTCAGCAGACTCAGGATAATTATTCTTAACTCTTATCCAAATTAAGCAAGTAATGCTATAATTTCATCTTCAATTCCTTATCAAGAGCCAGTTCCAATTTATTTTGAAGTTATAGTAAAATTTAAATTATCTCTTGATAAAAAAATGAATTTCATATCAATGAACTTCTTTTGTGTAGATGTTCTGTTGATGGACAATAAAATTCAAGACATTTTATCAAATTTGTAAAATGTTCAGTGCTCACATTTTGCAGATATTATCAAGATCATCTACTTCATTAATAATTTTTGGCATTAGTTTCCTATATTCTATTCAGATATTTCATAATTATTGTGACTTTCAATTGGCTTAGTTATGTTTTTACATTTAAATTTATCTGGAATTTATTTTAGTGTAAAGTGGGAAAATTGAAGCTAAATTTATTTTACTGCAAATCTTAGCCAGCTGTCTCCAACACCGTATAAAACTAGGTTTTTTCTATTGATCTGAAATGTCATATGCTAAATTTTCAAGTGTATCTGAAGATCTATTTTTGGAATCTTTATTCTGTTTTCACTGATCTACCTATTTGTAATCCAGATTATGTTTTTATATCAAATTCAAATTGCACACATACTAGGAATTTCTTTATGATGTCTTTATAATTTCTGTGCATTTATCAAGTTGCAATGAAAATGCTTTGCTAGTGTTCCATGAAGTTCTTCATTTTATGAGCCAGTTCATGTATGTCTTGAGCAAAGGTGTCACTGAAAATTTATACTTTAACTACCTTCTCTTCTTCATATTCTGTCAACATCCAGATGGACATCTTTTAGAAAATGTTACTTACTATAGATCTGTTATAAATATGTAATCTAGTACAATTCAAATGAAAGTTTCAGTTAGTAATTTTTAAGACTTGACAATATGCTATCAAAATTTATCTAAAAGAAAAAATACATGCAACACAGCCAATTCTATAAAAGTATTATGATGAAAGAAGACTTTTGTTGCCAGATATAAAATGTGTGGAAAATTTGAAGAAAGAAGTATTTTTTTGGCTTCATTGTCAACAAACACAAAAAACTTTATAATGTATAAAACTATGAAGGATTATATTGTCAACAAACGAGATTTGAAGTTTAAGTTTTGTGCAGGAGCATGTTCTGATGACAAAATTGCGATGACAGGAAAACAATCTGTAATAGTTATCAAGATCAAGAAATTTGCACTAGAATGTAAATTGAAGCAATTGCTTCCTTCATCGAGAAGTCTGACTTCAAAAAGAGTCAACTGAATTAAAGAATAATACAAATTTTTAAAAAATGGAATTATATATAAAGACAGTGTGTTAAATGCAAGATTATTATCTTTATTATGTCATAATATAGAAGCTGATGGATTCCTGCTGTTGCCTGCTGAATTATTGTGTTTATCAAGGGAAAAGTTCTGTTGAGAAAGTCTGAATTCCTAGTATTCCTGAAAGATAAGAAATCAGTTTGGTCTAAACACTTTGAAGAGTTTTCAACTTTTTGAAATGTGAATTAGCTTAATGTGCTTATTGGTCTGATATCTTTGTTATTTTTAATGATCATAATGCCCCCTGTAAAAAAGAAATGCAACTTGTGTTTTTTTTTTCTTTTGCAACTTGTATTTTAAAGGTAAATAATATCAAACACCAAACAAATGTTCCACAAGCCCCTTCAATTTAACATTCCACAATCAAATTAATTACTTTTTCTTCAAATTGTTTTTCCTCCTGCTTTTCTTTTGTTATTATTACCACTCCTGGTGGTATTAAGCTCTCCACAATCTGGCCCCTGCATCTCTCCAGCCTCAGATCTTTACACCCTCCTAGCATGCCTCACTCCTATCATGCTGGACCACTTGGAGTACTTTGAACCCTGTTTTGCTTCATACCTTTCAATCACACTTGGAATTCCCTCCAACCATTTATGAGGAAGACCCAATTATTTTTCAAAATTTAGTTCCACATTTGCCATATTTAGGTAGGTTGACTGTCTTCACCCACCAATTTTCCCACAAAATTGACTATTCTTCCTTGCACTTCTATGGTAGATCCCTTGCTTTCTAATACAGCACCCACAAAAATGTACCCATTTATTTACCCACTTTCCTAGTAGACTGGAAACTTCTTAAGCCAGGGGCCTTGTCTTCTTCATTTTAAAAGAAATTCCCATTGTCTAGCAATGCCTCTACAATTTAACAGCTCTGTAAAAATTCTTTGAATGAGTGCGTAAATAATCAAGAAGTTTCAGAGACACAATGGAAAGGGTTTGCAGAGAAGGGCAGTGTTAAAACTGGTCAAGAAAACACAGGACAATATGGTCATCAGCGTTAAGGGTAAGGATTGCTTACTAGAGGAGATGTGTCTGTGTATGGTGGTTAAGGATGAGAGTCATGGTGGGATTAATAGCTGTAAGTTTCTGACTAGAATACTGGTATGAGGTTATTCCATTGCTACAGAAGTACAGGAGATAGCTGAGGTCAAATGAAATTTTCTGGCTATCATCCAGTTTTCACATAGCAGCACACACACACCACATTTTTATAATGACAACACTGCATTTATCTAGTGCCTTACAGTATACAAAGTTCTTTTACATTTTTTACATTCTTTTACATCTTTTACATTTTTCCATTATTTTATGACCCTTAGTTATCTCCCTAAACTTTAGCAGTCTTATCTTTTACAATTGTTACTAAATATGTTATATGTACAGTACACAATTAAGGGTCAAGTATGTTATTGGTAGATCAGGAATTTGAGCTCAATAGTTAAATGACTTCCTCAGGGTCACAAAGGTAAGTTAGTGAACGATTTAGACATAAAGTCTAGATCTTATGACACCTCTTTATGATTTTTTTTTCACTACACTAAAGTACAATGAAATGATATCTTGACAGCATCTTTAATTTCCTTGAGAGATTTACCCAAACTCAGGCTTTGGAAATATGCTGTCAGAGAGCTAATTACCAAATTTAAGCAAAGCCTACTCCTTGACTAAAACTAAAATGCAAGTATAAATAATATTTTGTATAGCTTGCATTGCTTCTTTAATCTCTATATTTCACATCAAGGGTTTTCAGCAGAAATCTGATCAGGCCAGTTCCTGCCCTTGTAAAGTTCTGTGGAAATGTGCTCTTATTTTAATTGCTTTATAAAACAGTGCTTTCATCGGGATGAGATGGCTCACACCTGTAATCCCAGCACTTTGGGAGGTTGAGGTGATAGAATCTCTTGAGGCCAGGAGTTCAAGACCAGCCTGAACAACAAAGTGAGACCCTATCTCTAAAAAAAAAATTTAAAAATTAGCATGGCATGGTGATATGTGTCTGTAATTCAAGCTACTTGGGGGATTGGGGCAGGAGAATCACTTGAGCCCAGGAGTTTGAGGCTGCAGTGAGCTAGGATTGTGCTACTGCACTCCATCCTGGGTGACAGAGCAAGACCCTGCCTCTAAAATATAATAAATAGGCTGGACATGGTTGCTCACACCTATAATTCCAGCACTTTGGAGGCTGAGGAGAGAGGATTGCTTGAGCTATCTAAAAAATAAAAATAAAAAAATTAGCTGGGTGTGGTGGCGTGCACCTGTGGCCCTACTTACTCATGCAGCTGAGACTGGAGTATCACTTGAGGCCCAGGATGGGGAGGCCACAGGGAGCCGTGGTGATTGTGCCATTGCACTCCAGCCTGGACGACTTGAGTGAGAACCTGATCAAAAACAAAAACACAAAAATAAATAAATACAATATTTCTTCTGAGTACAGTTTTATGCTAGAGCAAGTGTCAGACTGGGGCCCTAGAATTAAGGTAGCAGGAATCTGAAGTGAGAACCAGAACAGAAAGAAAATGACTCTGGGCTTACATAAACCCCTACAATCACACCCGTCTGTCCTTATGTTTTTTTGTAGAACTCTGCTGCAGAAGACTCTGAAACCATAAAATGTGATCAGGAGATGAGATTATTAAGTCAAACAATTTCAGCAGGTATTCTAAATTACATTTTTAGAATTTGACTTTATTGAGATTTTCCTCTTACAAAAGAAATACTGGTTCATTGGGGGGAAAAATCAGAGATTTCAGAAATATATTTAAAGTGAAAATCCTTCATAGACCTTTTTCTGAGATAAGCAGGTGTTGACAGATTTCTTTCGTTTACTCTCTTTCTCTCTTTTGATTTTTAATAAAACCATGGAATCCTATCATACAAATGTTGTTGAAAATCACCCTTTTTCCCCCCTACCAATATGCTACATACATAGAACACAATATTCTACATAAATGAGTAATGTTCAACCTTTTTCTTAGTAACAACACATTGATAACCTCACTTTTTTTAGTAGCTGCATAATTCCATTCAATAATGTAATATTACTTAAATCTCTATGATAGACAGTAAGGTTATTTCTAATTTTTTATTATTACAAAAAATGTTGTAATGAATTTTACAGGCACACACACACAACTGAAAATTTCTCAACAGTTTGAGTATTTACAAGTATTTGTATTCAATCTGGTCCTGGCAAATTGCAGTTGGATATAGTTTAGAAATGTCCATGTGATAGTGATGTCTAATTTGTCAGTCTTTTTGAGATTTATATACATCTTTTCCATTAACTTTATGCTTCTATCTCAATAACTTCTAAGGAGTCTATTTTCCACATATTTCTTAGCATATGTTTCATAACAGTCTTTCTGTCTACTTCTTCATTTTTTCTAGCACACTTTTGTTTCAGTGGTAACTGAAGCTTATATCTTTATAATTTCCCCATAGCCTCGACTGGTTAGTTTTCCTGCTAGAAATACAACACTATAGTTAGTTAATGAACTTCTGTCAATAATCCAAGCTTTTCTACATGGTGATTGCCAAAGAAAATATATCATAACCATCTAAATTTAAACACAATATTCTTTCTTTTTAGGTAAATGAATTATTAACTAAATACATTTACAAATTAAATATTGTAATTTATTTAATGTACACAAGGAAAAGGGGGCAACTGCTTAATTGGGATTTTCTTTGGTTATTTCCATTAATTTTCAGTATCTGATCTCCATGGGTTGAATTCATTGCCACATCAGTGTGCTTCCTTTTATGGGAAAGGAAAGTTGTAGTAATAGATACTAGTAGTTACTGCATTTTTACTCTGTGTCAGGCACCAGTTCTAAACTCTTTATGTGTTCTAACTTACTCCTCCCCCAAATTCTATGAGATAGCTACAACTATTGTATTCCTTTTGTAGATGAAGAAACTGAGCGGTCAAGCTAAACAGGGTAAAACCTATAAGTGGTCTGACTTCCTTTCTTAACCACTACACTGTATCGAAAGAATTTGGTGAAGGATGGAAATTGTCCCTTTAATATGGAACTTCAGATGTTCAGATTATGCGCTGGGAATTATGGAATCATAGAATTCCCATAGAATCTCTGAATGCCAGAGTTGAACCAGTACAGTTCCTTTACTTTCAAGCCTCCATTCCTATTTTTCTGAGCACTGGACCTATTTTTGTTTTAAAAACTGTTTGCTTTAATTTCATACATGAACCAAAATTTATTTTTTCACCATTCAACTTTTTTTAGATTTTTAGTCCCATAATGTCCAATTTTAAGAAATGAATATAGCAATTTTCAAATTTTGTGTTAAATCATTTTAAATTTTTTATAAAATGTTTTTGTTTTTATTTTAGTAACAGCACATGCTTATTGTATGCAAGTTCCTAAAATGTCAGTATATAAAATAAATATGGAACCCTCCCTTGAACCCCGTCATTTTCATGCCTATTCCTGCCTCCAAGGTTAGATCTGAATACATTTGAGTTAATCATTTTTTGAAAAGTTTCAGTAGCTAGTTGAATAAAAACTTCCTTTTACCAGTATTAGGATTTTTTTTCATTTCCTCCTAAGAAAAATATAAAAATGTTGTGATCTATTTAGAATTTGTGTTAATCTGATTAATTCTAGCACAGTTCTTGCTGGTAGAGAATGCTACTGAAAAGCCGGATTTCTATGAAGACAATGAGGTGGATTTATGCCAGTTCACGACTCTGGGTGGAGTATACCACTTGGACATTTTGGAGCTTCCCCCACAATGTAAACCAGTCAAGGGCTGGATGATTGTGGAAGTAGGTGGAGTCTTGAATCAAATTTATAAGCAAAATAGTTGCTCACACTTTTGCTTTATTTTAAATTATCTAGCACCTAAAAACTTTAACCATATCAAGCAAGCACAAAGGAAAACATGTCATTTTAAACTGTCTTAAATGTATAGGTATTGACATGTTGAATCAGATACTTAGAAGGGATCTAAAATTATATGAATTTTAAAACTAGAATTCAAACATGTTAATTGTAAACCTATGGCACTATATTTTGATAATGCCAATTTTATAGTCTAGAGCAGAGGTTGACAAAGTTTTTCTGTACAAGGCTAGATGGTAAATATTTTCAGCTTTGTGGGCCATACCAGCTCTGTTGCAACTACTCAGCTCTGCCACTGTAGTGCTAAAACTGATGTATGTAGATGAATGAGATGTTCAAGTTAAATGTTATTTATAAAAACCGGTGTTGAGTGGTATTTCCCAGTGACCATAGACTGTGGACTCTGGTCTACATCAGTGGTTGTCATTATGTGATCTCTTGAGCAGATGCATCAGCATCCTCTGGGTTGCTAGAAATGCAAAGTCATGTGCCCCACCTCAAACCTATTGAATCAGACACTCTGAAGGTGAGGTTCAACAGTCTGTGTTGGTAAAACACACCCTAAAGTTTGAAAACCACTGCTCTGAATCCTTGATATACACAGTGTGGTCAGTCCCCAGTCAACAGCATTGATCTGGCAGCATTAGCATCAACTGGGAACATATAAAAAATGCATGATTTGGGGCTCTTCAGAGCTACTGAATCTGCAGTTGAACAAGATCCCCAGGTGATTCACAAGCCCATTAAGTTTGAGAAGCTCTAATCCAGGCAACACCAATGCTGCCAATGTACTGACCATACTTTGAGTGGTAAGAATTTGGATGATAGCAGTTGTTAGATCATCTTTCAAGGAGTATCTTACACCTGTTTAGTAGTAACATTTGCACGAGTATTGAGTTGGTTTATTTTTAACTTAACCTCATAGCGGCTTGCATCCCATGGAATACTACCATACTCAGTTATATTGCAATAGCTTTCTCTTTGTCTGTCTGTCTGTCTCTCTGTCGTTTTCATAGTATAGCATATACACAGATTGCCAGGTACTTCTCACCCAAAATCCCATCCATTAAGAATGTGGGTGCATTATTTTATTATGAGTTCTTTAATTATTATTATATAATAATTATTTTATATATTATGCATCATTATATAGTTATTATTTATTATTATTATTAGTGAAGTATTTTTCAACATTTTTCTCCTATTATTGTAGTGATTTTTTCCCCTAACAACTTCCCCCAATAAAATTTCAATAGCCAGGTGCGGTGGCTCAAACCTGCCATCCCAGAACTTTGGGAGGTCAAGGTGAGAGGATTGCCTGAGCCCAGGGGTTTGAGACCAGCCTGAGTAACTTGGCGAGACCTCGTACTACAATAAAGCAAAAAATTATCCAGGTGGTAGTGCGCACCCATAGCTCCAGCTACTTGAAAAGTTGAGGCAGAAGAATCGTCTGAGCCCAGTGTGTTGAGGTTGCAGTGGCCATAAGTATGCCACTGCCTTCCAGCCTGGGCTATAGAGTGAGACTCAAACTCCAAAAAAAAAAAAAAAAAATTCAATGAATTCATTATCCATAGGAAGGTCCCAGCCTGAGCTGGGGTTTCAAGGATCCATCTGAAGTTCTGTTGTTTTTTACTTTTGCCAGAATGTCCTGTCACCACTTCGTGTTCCCATTTGAACCCAAAGAATCCACCTTCACCCCTATTTTTCTCTCTTGTAGCAGAGAGGCTTTCCTTCTTTTTTTCCAGACTTTTTAAAAGAACTTCCCACCTCCTCTAGATTTTTTTTTCATCCATTTTCCCCCCTATTTGCTAACATTTTAAATCTTCCCTGCTTCCCTAGATCCTTTTCAGATAACATACAAATCTCCCTTAACCCAGAAAAATCTGAGATCTGTTTAATTCACTTTCATCCTTTCATTTCTACACTTCTAAAAAGATTGTCTATGTTTCTGTCTCTCTTCATCTACATACCCTTAGCAAAAAGCTTGTAATTTGGGGTCCTGTAGATCTGTTTTTGAGTTCTGGTGCCACCTTGAAGTCATTTTGTAATCTTTGGCGAATCACTTGATTCCTCTAAGTTTTAGTCATCGTCTCTGTTAAGTACGTGCCTTTAGAATTGCTTGGAGGGATAGAATGTTGGATACCCTCCAGCCTACAACTTGGTCCATAGGAAGTTCCATAATTGTAATTATGGATGGTTCCCCCCACATTTATCTTTTTAAATTTTGCTATGATATTTTGTGTCGATCTATAGATGGGACTAAACTTCAGTGCTTATTAAAAATAACTGTATAGTTTATTTAGTACTATTTACATCTTTAACTGTTACCAGTCAACTTCTAACTTGATGTTGTTTTTCTTCATTTCTTAAAAGATACTCAAAGAAGGATTACAGAAATACACATATCCTCCAGAAATTACAGAAGACTTTGAAACAGAAAATGTTTTCCCACCTATAGAGGTCATGCTTGAGGTTCATAAAAATGTAATATTTTTTGAGGATCCTATGGTTGTAAGGTGGGATGCTGAAGGTACAGCAATGCCTCAACCAGCTTTTATATTATGTATAAAAAAGGGATAATAATGCAAATCCTTAAATTGAAGCAGAAAATGGAGTATGTACACTGAGTTTCTTGTCTTACATATTGCCAATTCCAAGGTCTTTGTTTGCTCTTGATGGAAATGAATAGGGGTGGGAGTTTAAAAAGTTGTTGAACTTTATAATTGCTATTTCCCAAAGTGTCTATATCTGCCATAGTCTATGAGCAATTACTTTATGGTTATATCATGTTTTTTTAAAAAAGGAAAGAAAATATTAAGACAGCTTAGCAAATCAAAAACAAATGAACAACCTACTTTCTCATGAAATAACTACATAATTCAGTTTTGAGTGACTAACATTGATTATTTGAATGCTAATCATTTATAAATTGCAAACAAGTATTGAGCTGGGAAATGTACAAATGGGAAATCTGAGAAAGAGAAAAACTAGCCACTGTGTGCCTTTGTTATAGTTTTAAATTCTCGAGCTATGGAACATTATTGCTTATTCAAAATATTAAATAAGCCGGGCTCGGTGGCTCAGCCTGTAATCCTGCGCCTTTGGGAGGCTGAGGTGAGTGGATTG